TTATTTATTGCAAAAATTGTGCAGAGAAAACGTCAAAAAATGGAAATTTATTTTCATAAGCGTTTCATATTCAAAATTTTTGACTTTTTTCAATTTTTTTAGGTTCAATTACGAATTATGGGTATAAATAATAAGAATTTTTTCGCTGCCTGTTATAGGATCAATATCACGGACGCCATTTGTCCAGCAGCTGAGCAACTCGCACGCGTACCTGCCAAATGGGATGCTTCATATGTCCGCCATTTTTAAATATTTTTGGAAAAAAAAATACGTATGGACAGTCCAAAACATATATAAATAAATGTTTAAGTTTGAAAAATATAGAAAAATTCTTTCTCCTACAAAAAAATTCTTGAAAATAGCTTATTTTTCCTCGTTCTAATTGGATTTCCCCCCTTAAATAGCAACATATAGATATTTCTTTTCTACGATTTTTCTGCCATAAAAACGCTAAAAATATATTTTGTTGAAGCTTTGGTGAATTTTTTCGGGATAAAAAGAACTTGTCGTTATTATTGTACATATTATTAACATATTTTATATGTGTTACATATGCAAAGTCTACGTTGCAATAATAATAATGACAGTCAATAAGAGTAAAATCGATGAAGAGTTGACAAGTGATCGTAGCGTTTTTTCTTTCAGTTACTGCATCATTATCCTCACTTGTCTCTTATTAATTTTGCGATTCTTAATTCGAGCGGATAATTATCAACGTTTGCTTTTCATGCAGCGTCGATCCTATCGTGACTCGAAGAACAAATGTCCCCTTTGCCCTGCAGTAGTGTATGACGTATCTACTGCAGTTTCCAATAGGACTACAATGAATCTATAGCACAAATTCGTTAAAGCAAATATTAATAGTTCAAGATATGGTCTTCATGATCGATCGCAATTCAATAATTGGTAATGGTCAATAAGTAAACAGTTCATTATCTTGACTAGTAACATCTATGAGTCCTAGTAGAATTGATGAGATTATGAATTTCTGATCTTTTATGTATTCTCCAAGGACAAAATTAAGGAGATTAAAATTAAACATATACAATCATGTGAAATTGTGTCATGTAAACATGTCCATCGATCATGACGATAAAATCACGTTTTTCATTTGCTAATATCGTATTTTGCCAGATGTTAAGCGAGCAATAACAGTGCAGTTGCTTTCGCGTGACACACATCATGCGCGTGTCGTATGGCAATATTAACCAATTGATTGTGAGAGAAAAGGACATTACATAAGGGGACCGTGCGGATGTATTACCAATTTAGAAAACATGCGATTTTCTCAGATAAAAACTTTTTTCCTAAATTTTTTTTGTAGCGGAAAAATAATAGAGAGAGAGAGAGTCGTTACATCTCTCCTGTAGTAAAAAATCACATTTAATTGTTCGATTCTTAATTTGTCAGAATATATCGTTAATTAATGTAAATTATTATCGTAATTAACGTTTATATTTGTTACTTTGCATTATGTGATATACTAACTTACTTGTGATAAAAATGTATATGATAAATGAAGTTTTTTATCGTTATTTCTATTTGAATTAATTTTAAATACTTCAAGCAATGATAAACGTAGAATTCTCTTTAATTTTACTAATACAAAATTTTCTATAATTTTAAATTACTACAATTTTACATTTTCTACAATTTTAAATTACACTTAAATATTATAGAATTTAAATTGAAGAATCTTCAATTAAACGATTCGATGAATATGTTTATTAATCGATCAGAATAACCACATTTGTTTAAATGTAATTGTAAAAACCACATTTGTGCATAAATTAATATCTAAATTAATAACAAGACATTTTTAATAAATCAATTTCAAATAATTTGTGCATCTGTAATTTATGTAATTATGTAATTTATGATTCTATATGTAGAGGAGCGTACCGATTTTTACGAGTTAACATACAACTTTGGTGGTGGGAGAAGCGCGAATATACCGTCGCAAGAGTATTTTCGCAATATGCAACAGCTCATCCAGAAAAAGTTGCTTACATCTTCGAGGATAAGGAATGGAAATATAAAGAGGTAATTTCTGATACGTAAGTTTTTTACTATTTGCCTGCGCTGCGCATTTAGTACTCGTATCAATAATATTACTTATATCGATAGTCTTATCGGGCTTAACTCTAATTAATAGTAATGAAGTTTATAGTTACTACATATTCTTCACATTAATCACAAAATTGCTCGAGAAATAAAGATTACCTATAAAAATGATCATTTTGAAATTAATAAATTCGGCAAGCTCCAAGAACATCGATACTGATTGACAAGTTCTTTGATTACGTATTTATATTAAATTAATTCTGTAATTGATTTTTGTAATCTCTGATATGCTTTTCAAATTAGTGACATGTCTTATGAACACACGCACATATTTTCCATTCATGTATTCTAAACGAGAATAGTAATTAGAAAGGAAGTAGTAATGAACAAGTAAAACAAGTAAAACAATAAAACAATAAGAAACGCAAGAAAACGACGAGTTTTGCTCCAATAGTGAATACAAAAATTTTCAAGCCCGTTGACTGTTACTAGCTGAACAGACTGATAACAGTCTCTGCGATATTAAGCATGCATAATCATCTTTTACGTTCGTATGGCACACAGTTGGAGCAATTCAGTAATCGTATAGGACGTTACTTCCGCACGAGGGCATTTTCACGCAATGACAGCATAGCTCTAGTTATGGAGAGCCGTCCGGAGTATGTCGGTACCTGGCTGGGTCTCAGCAAGGCCGGCTTCGTCGCGGCTTTGGTCAACACGAATCTTCGTCACGAGACGCTCTTGCACAGCATCAACGCTGCTGGCTGCAAAGCCGTCATCTTTGGCTCTGAACTTAAAGATGGTAAGATTACTTTGCTTTGCCTCGTCGATGATCATCGATATGCGCCGCACGTAAGAATCTCACATGTCGCAGGAAGCCTTGTCATCTTACCATCGATTTTACGTAAAAGGAGATACGTATACCGTGTTACCGCTTGTTATTGATATCTGAAAGATTATATCGCACGTATCACGATGGAGAGATACCCGAGCGTGAAATGTGGTACAAGAGTATCTGCTCTGTCTATAATTCCTATAATGACAGAGCTGTGATAATCGTTATATGATACAACGCTCGTCACATTCTCGTGTTTCTTGCATAAAGGTTATTATTTTATTTTTTTTAGCAAAAAAACGATGAAAACAACTTGACTCTCTAGTTCTTAACCATCACTTGACGATTTTTGATCAGTCGTACATTGTTGTTGACATACTTTTCACAGTTTTTGTAAATATGCAACAAGACCATTGAATGAGTTGGTAAAATTTTGCCGTCGTTGATATTGACCGATCTCTTCACCGTGTATGCTTTGTGTTACGGAAAACCCGTTGTTTGTACTTTTACCCCCTTTTCGTGTCGGTCGTCGCGATTGCGAGACTTTCTCTGACAAGTGGCTTTCTAAATGGGCTCTCTATCGAATCACGGGAAAATCAAAACTCGTTTACGATGAGATTGTCATTGAAGCGTGTCGTGTGCAGCGATTCGCGACATCAAGAGTAAGATTCCCGATATCGAACTTTACCAATGGTCGGAATTGGCGGATACCTCGGTCTTGGAAGGGGCGATCGACCTCAACACGGAAATCAGCAGCATCGAACCCGGACCCCTTGTTGTTGAGCTTGACATTGGCAGTCCCCGGGACAAATTGATTTACATCTACACGTCTGGTACGACGGGAATGCCAAAGGCTGCTGTTATCAATAATTTGAGGTGAGCTTTCACTTGTCGTTTAATGCGCGATCGATCGTTAACACGCGGATTTCCGTCTATTTTCTTAAAGTCCAACTGAAGGTCGCGCAATTAACGATAAATAGATGTAATTACTCACGTATACATACATACATACATACATACATACATACATACATACATACATACATACATACATACATACATACATACATATATATATATATATATATATA